AGGACGAGGCCGAGGGTGCCCAGGTGACTGGTGACGTGTACAGAGTGGCCTGAATCAACTTGGCGAGCAGAGCCTTAAAAAATAGAAAACGAATAATTTGATCAAAGATTGTCAAGTCATCAGCCCATGGGCTCCTGGTTAACGCATATTTCTCACCCTTTGAAATACATTCTGATAACAAAGAACACCATTGGCTCAATCGAATGATCTCAACATAATTTATCCTCCAAATGGCGAACAGATGGAAATTCATACCAGGAAAGTAAGAGCCCCTGCATAATTGGAGTTCAGAGTCCAAGCATCCAAATTAAAAAGATACGTCTAGAACTTTCAGTTCTCGATATATTCTTCTTGACCCGTTCGCGCGTTTTTGGACTTGTGCACAGTACTTACGTTTTCGAGCACACATCCCCTTTGAATTTTTCTTGTATCCTGTCTTGCACCTGCACTTTCCGTTGAAGCATTCTTCGTGCGATGCGCACTTGCATTCTGTTCAAGATAGATAGAGGATATTGCATGCCTGCCCTTTAATACGAATTTTATCCCCTACCATTATTGATGTCCACTTTTACTTGATTAACCAGCTCTAAGCAGTTCCACGAAGGCGAATGCATGTGTTTCGTTGCTTATCGGTGCTTGTGACGTTTCAAATTTTTTATTTATCGCAAGAGTCGTGGACTAATACAGTTTAAAAACCTAATAAGCATCACCTATGACCATAAATTTTAGTTGACGAAAAGGAGCGAAACCTAGGATTGAGGTATCTCTCATCAGGAAGCAGGTCAAGTCACACGAGGACGCTATCATACACAAGAACACTCATATTATGCCAACAAATTCTTACGAGGTTCTTTGACGCATCTTTTATCAGCCTTCACATATCCCGCTTTGCATAAGCAAAAGTGTCCCCCTGGTTGATTTACACACTTCCGATACACTTTGACCCAGAGGCACACTCGTTAATGTCTTGTTTGATAACAGAAAATAAATGATGAATGGAGGATGTTACACGGTGGCGCATGGATATGAATTTTATGTTCGAGTAGCAAGAACAATATCTCACGAGGGAGCATAAAACATAAAATTTATATCTTCGAGGTAACGTGTAGTTTTCTTTTCATTATAAGTATAATAGATATTCAAGGTAAAGATTGAAAAGCTGGGTGTAATTAAAATACTGTGTTCATACAAACAAAATACCCGATTCCCAAATTATGATTAAGGTTTACATATAACAGCGCCTGTTAAGCCTAAATCATCAGATACTGCTATTTTCAGACTCTTTACACAGCTAACTTTTGAACAGCTGAAGGCTGTTTAGCACAAACAGAATAAAATTTATCTTCTGTCGCAACTTAATAGAAATTCCTTGAAAAACTTCTGAGCATACAAAGTTTTCTTTCTGGTGTTCTCGTTCTCTTGTTGCACGGAAAATGCACCCTTACTAAACAAATCTTGCTGCGGCTATTGTTCCAAACAACGAACAAACCAATATCATAAAGAGATTTTTCAAAGCCATGACACTTCGCATGCACTCTAATTTAACCAAAGAGCCACGCAGCACACAGAAATTTATACGTTTATCTCAACCCGAAGACCTTTATGATGAGGCAAGTAAAGGTAATCACTTACCTGTACATACTCCTTCTCCATTTTTTTCATATCCTTCATTACAAGTACACTTTCCGTCTTCGTCGCACTTAGATCCATGAGCACCGCATTTACATTTCATTTCTATAAAGGTAAATCACATTGTTAAACTGGAGAAGAGCAAAAAGAACTTTGCTTTTCTTGACCTCTTCAATGAAAAGCTCGACGTTGCAATACTCTTAGAGTCAGCTAAGTCGGATGAACGCAAGGACAACTAGCCACGAGAAGAAAATTGTTCACAGCAAAACGTAGCTTGACATTGTTGTTGCGCATGGGAACTTCGTTGCCCTATTCCAGCAAAGCGTGTGCGGAAGGTTCCTGAATAAACCAAACTGGTAACAGAGAATTCTCGTTCCGATTTTACAAACGCGTGGAGATCGAAAATACTTTGAGAAACTACTCTGTATGCAGCAGCAGACCTTTGGGTCAGTAAACTGTCTGGTCAGCATCAGGGATTTAAATTATTCAAACCTTTACGAAAAATCTCGAATTGGAAGTTTCGGTGGTACTTACTCACGCACTCGTCACCATCTCCCTTCTCGTATCCTTCTTCACAATGACATTCATAGGCACCAGGCGTGTTTATACATTTTTGCTTAGCTGGGCAAGAGTTTGGATCCTTGCATTCGTCTATATCTGCATTTATACAATGGAGATAAGATAAATACACGTTATGTTGCCCCTAAAAATTAGTCTTCTATGTTTGTTTGATTGCAATGTGTTCTGCTCATGCACCTCGGAAAATATATTTGAAACCCCCGCGC